TGGAAAATATTTTTTAGAAATGTCGCATTTTTCGTAAAACAAACAGAACCTCAATTTTAAAAAAAATTATAAAATTTTTTCACTAGCTTTGTATTGCATAAAATGTTTTCGCAGTATAATTTTTAAAAAAAAATCATAAGAAACAAGTATTCCTAGATTAGGTTAAATATAAAAATGTTTTAGCAATATGGGTCGGGTATGGGTTGGGTATGGGTCGGGTCGGGTATGGGTCGAGATATTTACACTATGAATAAATGGGTCATAAACGGGTTAATGAGTTAATTTGGGTCGGACAATTTATGACCCGACCCAAACCCGACCCGACCCACCCGTTTAACAGGTCTACCTGGAACTGAGAATCGGACTAGAGGAATCGATTCTTTGTTTTGGAATCGGGAACCGGACCAGTGCCCCTTGGAACCGGATCGACTGGGTGGGCAATTCTACGCTTGGAATCGGACCGAAATTCAATGGTTTCAATTTTATGGAATCGAAAATTGGACCGGTGCTAGCCGCCCAGAACCGGCTGGTGCGATTCGGTCCGAATAGTTCCTTTTGCTCACTCCTAAGCACTAATCGATAGAGTTTGGCCACGTGAAATAGAAAGCGCATGTCCCGATGCGTGTGTCGCGATCAAATACACGTCATAGAAAGATTTTGCTTCGCCACATAATCTTTTTAGATCGATTGTTGGTATCTCAAAAAACTCGAACCAAACCAAGGTCGACCTGTTTTCCTTCTTGCAAATCGCACGTATAGCTCGTGCGTCTTCTTTGTTCATTTCTCATGGATTTTGCTCAATTTGGTACGTTCCCACGAAAGACGAATTGGAAACGAGAAGTCGGGCTCGAACTCGATCGAGAAGAATGACTGGGATAAACCAGTTGACTCTACCAAATTTCCGTTGAAAGCGCAAACACACGCGTGGGAATTGGCTGTCATCGAATCGAATTGGATGCGAAAAGAGGGGAAAAAGACAAGAACGGCGACAGTTACATAGAAATGTTTTTGTTCATCACTACTTTCTCGTACATAAGAAATTTTGTGATGGTTGCTGTCATGCGGTTCAATTCAGGACCATTTGATTGGTGCTTCGTCGGAAAGGGCACGACGAAATACCTTTCGAAATATGAACGGATCAATATGAATCGATAAGAGTTGCGAATGGTCCTTCATGGAAATGAATGACAAGAAATCTAAAGGTTCGGAAAATGACCATGTAAATTGCAAAAAAGGTAAAGATAAAAGATATATTTGCAAAAAAAATTGTTGAATTCTGTGATTGATTAGATAGTTTACAAAGATTACACTTGAGGTATTTATAATCCTCTACCAATGGATACATATGATGATGACAAACAACGGTCATTGAATTTGAAAAAAAGAGAGAGTAGCTTCCAAATTTAATCGGTGATTACAAGAAATTACGCGATCTCTTATTATCCAACAACATTTATTCACGAGAAATTATAAAAAAAATCATAAATTAGTGGCAATAGACATAACCACCCAGCAGCAATATTTTAATGTTGATTACTCGCTGTCGATGACTTTGCCGATCAACCTCAAATCTTGATTAAGGTTTTCGTCGATAATTTTCACGATGTTGTCGATGACTTACTTTGGCGAGTTATCGATTCCCTTCATGTAGTCTATTGTTCTATTCATTGTAAACTAAACTCTGCTTTCATTGACTAAGTCTAATGCTTATCGATGATAAGAATAAATTGATCATTTTTGGATGTCAACATAGCCATTTGTAAACAAATTGAATGATTCATTGATCATTTGATTATTTTAAATAAGATAATCATGAGCCATTATATGCTCCCTTGTTGTAAACAAATTTAATTTTTCCCTATCGAATTGCTTCCTTAATTGTTTTCTTAAAAATAATACAAAATTGTGCTATGGCTCATGAATGGAGTCACTTGCGATATTCTTATTTACTAAATCTTCTTTACTTGGAATTACATGGCCTTCGGTTAATTTATTAAGTCATTTTTTAAGAGTAAATCGAAGATTTTGTCCAACTAACGACCAAGTAAAGTCGAGTATCTTTAACACTAGCCATTGTTTTCTTTTATTTTGGTGTCAATAATGGGTCAATTGTAACGCGTTCATGTGCACCATATGATATCATAACGAAACAATATACTCTTTTTTTTTTTTGGGATAAGGACACAAATGGTTCCTGAACTTTGACTTAATATGCAATATGATTCATAAACTTTTAATTTATTCAACGTGGCCCTTGAACTTTACCCCAATGTGCAATGTGGTCTCTGAACTTTTAATTTATTCAATACGGTTCCTGGACTTTTAGTAAATGTTCCATTTAGTCCCCGAATTATATGAAAATATTCAATATTATCTTTCCATTAATTCAAGTTAAGAGAAAACATTGAATATTTTCATGTGGTCTACAAACTAAATTGAACATGTACCAAAAGTTTAGGGACCACATTGAATAAATTAAAAGTTCAAGGACCATATTACATATTGGGATAAAATTCAGAGATCACATTATACATTTGGCCAAAGTTCAGAGACCATTTATGTCACTTTTTCCGTTTTGTTCCTGCGAAGACGTAGCCCAAAGATTAAGCAGAAATGTCAATGTTCAACGACCAAAATATGAATTCTAAGAGACCCAAGTGAAGAAATTCTCATGTGAAGGATTTACCAACTTTATTCTGGGTGCTTGTTGGGTACGACGCATAGGGAACATGACCACGATTTCACTGGTGGACCCCTCTCATTACTCTAGTGGGGGGGCAACAAACGCTCCTCTTCCTCGCTTAAAAAGGCAAATTAGGGTTTGCGTGACGAAGAAGATGGCCGATACAGATGCATCCTGACCGTTCGTTCATTCACGTGTTTCGGGACTTGTCATTTGCTTAAGAAGATACGAAAAGTACAGAACGTTCACAATTACCGCAAGCTAACGGTAGACTAAAATTGAGTCGAAGTTGAAGAGCTTAGGTACTTGATTAAGCAAAAAATAATAGACACCTGAAGAACAGGCGAAACTCCCGTTACTTGCAGTGTTGGCACCCAATATATTATAAGTGGCTAAGACACGTTTTAGAAGTTAACCTATTGGATGCGGGTGACAATGATTATTTTGGCACTATCTTCACATAATGAAATCAAGAAAATGACATATTAATGCAATTTGTTTGTCATGCTTGTGGTTCGAATTTTACGGGACATCCTAAAGGTTATAAATTACACGATAATGTCTTTTATTTGAGAAGAAAGGATTCTGTTAACGAGTGTCGTATGGAAACTTGTTAAGCAATTGAATATAATATGTTTCGCAGTTTTTCCGGTGTGGTGCTTTACTCATCCTACGTGTAACTATATCTTCAAAAATCAAAGCGTTCGTCATTATTCCTAACCAATGGTGAACGTGTGCCGAGATTATAGCTTTTATTCGTCTGTCTGGTAGAATGTCTTGTTAGGGTTCACCGATAAGTAATTGCCAAGACAATGATTTTGCTAGTCTCGACTATGAATTGAAGATTTTGTATCGACTTTTGCGTGAATTGAGTAAGCTTTCTTTCCTGTCGAGTTGATGTCACGACATTCTTTCTCTATTAAGAATATGCTTTTACCACCATCATTGAGGGAAAAAAAAATCCTAATAATGCTATAATTTCCTTACAGTGCTCGCTTTGATGTCATAACTTTTCAATCGATCATTCAAGTGTCATAATTTATATAAAAAAAAATCTTCGGTATAGCAACATCTCCTATGACGAATCCTTAGTGGATTTAGTTTTTACAATATCATATCCAACCTGGCTTTCTTTAAAAAGAATCGAGTCCAAAGTGGAAGAACGACCAAACGACGTTACAAACCAGCCTAAAAGGCGACACATCGAAGATGAATTAATTGAGGTTCGGTAGGTAAATTACTCTCTTTCTCTCTCTCTCTACAAACAAAGATTGACGACAAGAAACAGACCACAACTTGGAGGGAAAAAATTAAGGCTCGGAGGACGAGCGAGGAATCTTGCAACTTTTAAGTGAGCGGCTCCTTCTGTTTCTACTCACCATTACAAATTTAGTCCGAAGCCATCGATTTGGGGCAAGGAAGGGTTCAATACCCCTTTGAATGACGTCACTTCCCCGGCAAGACACATCGAACTAATTTTTTATCAAATTGGGCGCCACAAAGAAGTTTCCGGTAAGGAAAAATCGCCGACATAGCTCGAGTGGAGTTCATCAAAAGTCACGGCACTCAGAAAAGTCATGGCCCTAAATTGAGCGCCGTATGAAAAACACGTCGTCAGCGACTCGCTTTCGCAAACGGCTCCAAGCCCCACTCGTTGCGGCGCTTCTGTCCTCCGGAGCTCCCGTCGCGAATTCAAGGTCCGACCCGCCTCCGAAGTTAAAAAAAAAAAAAGAAGAAGCAAAAACAAAAACGAAGTAAGATGGTCCCCGGTTACAACTTACAACTTACAAGGGACTCAACGAGCAATGTGATAGGATGACTTTAGGGGGGGTGGGCCCGGGGTGGGGTCAAAGACGTGGCGCTTGTCCCATCTGTGTTTCATCCGAATCACCACGAAAACAATCGTTTCAAGAACCACCAGAAACGGAGGAGGAGGGAGGAGGGAGGAGGGAGGAGGGAGGGACGGAGAGACTATAAGGAAAGAAAGCAATAGGGTCGAGAGAGAAGCGCGTTTTTTGACCTTGTAATTTCCGTCCGGTCCCGGTCCCAGTCCACCCACGAACGGCGCCTCTTCTTCTTCTTCTTCCTCCTCCTCCTCCTCCTCCTTCATCTTCTTCCGCCATTACCGTTCTCTGCGATCTGTGAAAAACGAGGGAGAGAAAGATTAAAGAAAACAACCCCCCCCCCCCCCCCCCCACCCCCAGTTCATCTCTGCGCACGCTTCCCCACATGCATCGCTCTCTCATTTAACTCTGTCACATCCAGCTCATCCCCCCCTTGCTTCCCCTGTCTCTCTCTCCTCCCGTCGTTCAAGCCCTGACTGCCTCTGCCTCTGCCTCTCTCTCTCTCTCTCTCTCTCTCTCTCTCTAGCTTTCTCTCTCTACTGCAATCTCGGTTCTTGATTCCGTTTCGCGGTTCGGTTCGGTCGAGAGCGAGGACCCTTTTGCCGGGGCAGCCGGATTTTCGGCACCCGATACAGAGGGGTGAGTAGTCCGCCAGCCGATCGGGGATGGCGGACTTGGTGAAGCAGATCCTGGCGAAGCCGATCCAGCTGGCGGACCAGGTGGCGAAGGCGGCGGACGAGGCCAGCTCCTGCAAGCAGGACTGCGCGGAGCTCAAGTCCAAGACGGAGCGCCTCGCCGCCCTCCTCCGCCAGGCCGCGCGGTCCGGGTCCGACCTGTACGAGCGTCCCACCCGGCGCATCGTGGAGGACACCGAGCAGGCCCTCGGCAAGGCCCTCGCCCTCGTCCTCAAGTGCCGCGGCAACGGCCTCGTGAAGCGCGTGTTCACCCTCATCCCCGCCGCCGCCTTCCGCAAGGCCTCCTCCCTCCTCGAGAACTCCATCGGCGACGTGTCCTGGCTCCTCCGCGTCTCCGCCCCCGCCGACGACCGCGCCGATGACGCCTACCTCGGTCTGCCCCCCATCGCCGCCAACGAGCCCATCCTCTGCCTCATCTGGGAGCAGATCGCCATCCTCCACAACGGCGGCTCCCCCGACGACCGCTCCGACGCCGCCGCCTCCCTCGTCTCCCTCGCCCGGGACAACGACCGCTACGGCAAGCTCATCATCGAAGAGGGCGGCGTCGGCCCCCTCCTGCGGCTCCTCAAGGAGGGCAAGCCCGAGGGCCAGGAGAACGCCGCCCGCGCCATCGGCCTCCTCGGCCGCGACCCCGAGAGCGTCGAGCAGATGATCCTCGCCGGCGTCTGTCAGGTGTTCGCCAAAATCCTCAAGGAGGGGCCCATGAAGGTCCAGGCTGTCACCGCCTGGGCCGTCTCCGAGCTCGCCGCCCACTACCCCAAGTGCCAGGACCTCTTCGCCCAGCACAACATCATTCGCCTCCTCGTCAGCCACCTCGCCTTCGAGACCGTCCAGGAGCACAGCAAGTACGCCATCGCCACACTCAAGGCCAATTCCCTCCATGCCGTCGTCCTCGCCAGCAGCAACACCAACCCAGCGGCGGCGGTGGCGGCTGTGGGCCCGAACAGGGCGGCCGCATCGGCCATGGGCTTGGATGAGGACAACGAGGGCGCTAGCCTGATCGCCCATCCGCTTGGCAACAACCGAGCGAACAAGTTGCTCAATGTGGTCGCTCACACGATGGCCATGGATGCCGCCTCAAAGCAGGCAGAGAAGCCGGCCGAGGCCAATCACATCGCCAATGGCAAGCAGAGTTACCAGGCGCTCCCGCCACTGCAGCACCGGCACCACCAGCACAGCCACTCGGTGTCCGGGGCCAACTTGAAGGGCAGGGAATCCGAGGACCCGGCCACCAAGACCCAGATGAAGGCCATGTCCGCACGGGCCCTCTGGCAGCTCGCCAGGGGGAACTCCCCGATCTGCCGCAGCATCACCGAGTCGAGGGCGCTCCTCTGCTTCGCGGTGCTCCTCGAGAAAGGTCCCGAGGACGTCCAGTTCAACTCCGCTATGGCCCTGATGGAGATCGCTGCCATGGCCGAGCGGGACACGGACTTGCGGCGATCGGCGTTCAAGCCTAATTCGCCCGCCTGCAAGGCCGTGGTTGACCAGCTCCTCAAGGTCATCGAGAAAGCCGACTCAGAGCTCCTTATCCCCTGCATCAAGGCTATCGGGAACCTGGCCCGGACCTTCCGGGCCACGGAGACCCGGATGATCGCCCCACTGGTGCGCCTGCTCGATGAGCGGGAGGCCGAGGTGTCCCAAGAGGCCTGCATCGCCCTCGCCAAGTTCGCGGGCACGGAGAACTACCTCCACCTCGACCACTCCAAGGCCATCATAGGCTCGGGCGGGGCGAAGCACTTGATCCAGCTGGTCTACTTCGGCGAGCAGGCGGTGCAGCTCGATGCACTCGTCCTCCTCTGCTACACCGCGAAGCACGTCCCGGACAGCGAGGAGCTGGCGCAGGCCGAGGTGCTCACCGTGCTCGAGTGGGCGTCCAAGCAGTCCCACATGAATCAGGATGAGAAAATTGAGGCATTGTTGCAGGATGCCAAGAGCAGGTTGGAGCTTTACCAGTCTAGAGGGTCAAGGTTAGTATACCATTGAATTGACCCAATAAATGTGTAGATGTTTGATCATTGTCCAATAGAACCCAGAAAATAAAAATAAAAAAGTTTTGTGAACCTTATTTTCTTTTTCCTTATATCTGTTCTTTTCGGTTGTACATAAAGAGTGATTTTTCTGTAATTGATTAGAAGAATCTCTTAAGCCATTCGCAGCATTTGCCTGCAACTGGTAATTAGGCAGGAGTCCTCTCTTGTGCTCTTATTCTTTAGTTGACATTCTTCTCTGTTGCCAACGTTGTCGAGTCACTTGCGGAGAAACATAGATTTTGGTCGGTTCTCTTTAATGGGTGCATGCTCATAATCAAGCCCAGGAACTATTTTCTCTTCGGACCATGCTCTTTTCTTCACGGTCTCTGTTGCTATTACCTGAAAAAAGCTGAAGAAAGTCCAGTCTGTCTCCTTTGAGTTTGACCGCATTCAAAAGGGTCACCACAAAAAAAAAAAAAAAAAAAACAAGAGAGAAAAGGGAAAACGGCGAGCTTGTATGGTTCGATTTCACAGCATGGTCTTTAGCAATTTCTAAAGCAAGTACACTTGGGGAAAGCAATGATCATCAGACGTTTTGGTGGAACAATCTTTGCTAAGCGATGATTTCAGTGGGGATACAGGCCGGGTCGAGCTCCCGTGGCCGTATCATAGTTAGAGAGATCTCGGAGATGCGGGATTGGAGCTTGACCCGAGATCGACTACCGTGTTTCAACCACGTATCCCGCGCGATTCGATTCGAGATAGTTAAAATATAGCTATGTGGAAATCAAACTCCCAGACAAGTAAAAAACAAAAACACGCCGACCACTTTTGTGGCATTCCAGCTAATCTCCTGATTGATGGGTTGCTCAGCCATCTTTCCATTAGACAGCTGGTCATACAATAATGCGGACCATGTGCTGTCGGAGAAAGCACACATGTTCAGATCAGAACAATGCCGATAAAGAAGTCCCATTCACTGCGGATCCTTTTGACTCTGTTTCGTCTCGGAAAATGAGGCGAGGAGTCTCTTTGATTAATCCTTTGATCCGAACTTTCCGAAAGGTCGACCGAGAGAGATGATGGGATTTGAATCTTCGGTCTTGTCGTCGGACGGGAGTTCAACGATTTCGAAAGGATCTTTCAAGCGGTCCATCCGACCACGATTCCCATTTGTTGTTTCGCGCTCCTAGGCTTGGAATTTTGGACTTCAACGATGTGTACTGTTATCGGTCGACTACGCAAAAGATCACGCATCTCGTCAAAAAACGTGCTAAAAAACTATGGTACGAAGGAAGTCGGCATTTGGGTTTGTCCCATTTCGGAGATAATCGAACTCGAAAAGCTCAAACTCTTGCAAGAAGTAGTTCAAACTCTGATGATGCTCGCGGACCGCCGACCGGGGATGTCTTGCACGAAATAATAAAAAAATCAACTCTTCAGAAGCACCGCGTTACCTACTACTTGGCTTATGTTTCTTGATCAATCATATTGATCGTTAAGAAATCGGAGTACCCAATTGAGCAAACTTACTTTTAGTTCTGGTTTCACGTTCTCTAAATTCCGCACGTTATATGATCACGTTCAAATAAATTAAAGTAGATAAGCCATCAGTCAGTCGCTTGTCTAAATACATGCTAAAAAACTATGGTACGAAGAAAATCAGAATTTAGGTTTGTCCCATTTCGGAAAAAATCGAACTCAAAATGCTCGAACTCTTGCATGAAGTAGTTTAAACTCCGACGATGCTCGTGGGTCATTGACGCGGGGATGTCTTGCACGAAATGATTGAAAATTAACTCTTCAGAAGCATCGCGCTACCTACTACTTGGCTTATGTTTCTTGATCAATCATATTGATTTTTACAAAATTCGAGTACCCAATCGAGCAAACTTACTTTTTAGTTTTGGTTTCGAGTTCTCTAAATTCCGCACGCTAATATAATCACGTCAAAATCAATTGAAGTAGATAAAACCTTTCGATGCGACTTCACCAATTTATGCCGTCTTTTACTAGGTCAAAATAGGCGTTCGACGGACTATGCACCATTGACTTCGTCTAGGTCCTATTGGCTCGTTGTAATGTTTGATGCAAGCAAGTGAATTGACGGCGAGAATGCAATTCGACATGCGATTCCATCGTCATATTCGCACGTGGGAGAGGACCCATTCCACGATATAGGAGCTTTTAAAGAACGACCTACTTACAAAGTCAAAATTTAAAAAAAAATAAATACCAACCGATATAAAATAAAATAAAAAAAAACATATGTACAAAGACAAGTAGTTCGGCCGATGATTCCATTTCACACCGCGAAATAATATTTATTGCGAATTGTTGACATCAAAAGGACACTTGCAATAGCACATGCACAATCAAAGTTGTCTCCCCAGTTATGCTCTTCTTTTCTCTCCTTTTTTTATATCCAAGGGCCTAGAAATGTGATTATTTTCGCATGCGGGCTTGCGATTGGAGTTATTTGCAGTCATGCCCTCGAACCGGGAAGGAAGAAGTTTCATCTTTGGAAGCCGATCGAGTAGGCTGGACTTGAGGTGATGGGGTTGGGTGGGCTATGGAAGGGCTCATCAAGTGGACGACGGGCGAACCCATAAGCCCATTCTTTTCCCCGTAAAAGAAAGCGAAGGGAGCAAGTGCGGGGAACGGCACGGCCGTTTCTTCCTACTCGAATGACACGATTTCGTGCATAACAGAAGTGAAAAATGTTCTTGAGACATATCCAAAAATCTTAATAAGACGTTAAGCTAATCGCAATGGACCAGAGTTGTGAAGTCTGTTAAAAAGTATAAACACGTCTCATTAGCTAAATTAGAAAGCTCAAAGATCAAACTGTACATCTCCCGTGGTCTATGAACTTTGGCCTAGTGTGCAATGTGGTCCATGAACTTTGTCAAAATATACAATGTGATCCTTGAAATTTTAATTTGTGATCGAGGACAATATTGAACATTTTTGTATAGTTCGGGGACTGCATTAAACATGTACCAAAAGTTCATGGACCACATTGAATAAATTAAAAGTTTAGGGACTGCATTGCACATTGAGCCAAGATTCATGGACCAATTGTGTCATTTTCCCGCAAACATATGTGCAACTATCTCAAAACTATACGAAAAATCAACTCTCGAAATGTGTCCCATCAATACTGCTCTCGTCCTACTCATAAATTGAATGGTACGGTATGAGCAAAACCACTACTCAGTGAGTTGTACAAATCTATTCTAAGTAGAAGATCATCCAAATGCACACTCATAAATAGTACCGGAAACATATTCATCTAAATACAATATATAATATATGTACAAGATCAAAGATGAGTTACATCACTTCAAGATAACTTTATACATATTGAAGATACTGATTCAAGCAACAATATCAAAACAAACATGAATGATTCATCCATCGATCAATCTAGTACTCAATGCCATATCATGGCTACGCTTAGTACACCGGGATAAGGCCTACCGAGTTTTTTCTCTAAGTGTAAGTCTACACTTATATTAGCCGTTGGCCCGATCAAAACATGGCATCTCGAGAATGGCAGGCATACTCAAAACTCCTTAATGAATTTAGATCTCAGCAGCCAGGGCACAAATACAACAATACCTCCGTCCACAGCAACAACCTTTTCAGAAACCATATTCACGTCTAAAACATATATATAATCTTCCTTAGAGATCCTTCCTCCAATAAAAAAGTAACCCATAAAACGTTTCACAAACAGCTAAAGCAATACAGAATTCTTTTAAAAAACAAGAACATAACTCATTTCACAAGAAGCCGCAAAATGTCATTTTAAGTAACTAAAATGGTAGTAGGTGCCTTGTCCAACTTCAACAAATAATATACTTGAAAACATCACTTTCGCTTTTCAATAAACATCACGTGGCTTCTTTCATGACTTGAAACATATCCTAAATCATATGATTTTCGAGACACGACTTTCCAAATCATAAAAAAGATAAGCACCGAGCTACACCAAAACAGATTAATGACAGTTATCTCGAACGATGAATTTTGGATCAGATTAGTTAAGTAAGAAATGAATATCAAAATCAGGTAGATAAATACCTTAACTAAGACCCAACTAAACTAAGTTATTCTATAGCATAACAATGCTCATGAGCCTGCGAAAACTCACTAGAATAGAGGAATGCTTGTTGTCCACCGAATAGTGACAACTTGTATGCCAATTTTTTTTTTTTTACTCTGATGCTTGCCAAATTTAAAACGGTTTATTTAAACTGTATCGATGTCGTTTCAAGTGGGTCCACAGCTATTGGAAAGCTATTTCAATACACTTAAAAGACGAAATTGCTTCTAACCCAAAAGATGGTCAAAGATAGGTGAAAGCCAGCGCTAGAAACTAGAAACAGAGGGTCGATTATGGTCCAATAGTGCGCAACAAACTTCCTAATTCGCCATCAATCAAACCGTAACCAAAACGTCCATAACATACCTCGATTCCATGACATCCCAATGTTTCCTATTCAATTGATTTTGAGACTCTTCCCTCTCTTCTTTTTCTTTTCCTCTTCTTTATATTTAGCAACAGCTGCAAAAACATTGATAAATGGGATAAGGCTGCAGTTTCCTCGGCTTAAGTGAAATATTGAGCATTTTTTTTTTTAAAAAAGGGGCCCATTTATTACATATAGAACACCGGTGACATATAACACGAGAAAGAGAATGGATCTTTTTTTTTTTTTTTGTCATAAAAAGATAATGAATTGAATATAACAAATTTTCTTTATTTGAGTAATAACAAGATCCAGATATAAAAAGGCTAAGAGCGCGCACGACAACTATTTTATTTCTGTCAAGAACTAGTTTTCTGTTCCCAGGAACAGGTTTGGAATAGAAATTCGTTTGGTAACGCAATTCCATTTTTCTATTTCTAAAATAAATTTTTATTCCAGAACTAGTTTTAGACCAAAAATCAGAACAAAAAAAAATAGGTTTTTTGTTTTTGGACGAGAAATGAAAATCATTTCTAATCTAAAATAACCTGTCTTCTCTCTTCAAAACACATTTCTTCCTAAATTTGGCCCCGGTCTGACTTGATCAGACAGGTTCGAACCAGTTCGGTCCAGTTCATTCCCGGTGGGAAAATAAAAAAAATTCTAAAAAAAATTA